TCATATTTTTAATTTCCTTGTTGATGCCTGGCCAGTCCAGTATACGGCTTCCCTGGCCCTTCTCTTGCATTTCTCGACTCCGAAATATCCTTCATGTGTCCTTTGCAGTATGGCTGTCCTCATACTGTGCGGAATGACAATCCTTTTGTCCTTCAGTAATAGTCCATTTGTAACACTGAGCTCTGACCTGATGTGGTAATACTTTGTTAATGTCCCTCTCGGCCAGCCTTCTCTCATATGTTTCATCACCGTCTGCATTTCTGTGTCTTTCATGGTTTCCTCCCTTATTTGTTTTGATTTTGAATCTGAGACCGACCGGGACTCCACTATGAGGTTTACATGAGCCTCGACATCACTCTCAGTGGAGCTTGTGTGGTGTAGCTCTGGTGCTCTTGATCGCGCATCTGCGAACACTACATGTTTGCCTGGTGTGTAAATTAATTCAAAATCATACCTCTGCATTTTCATCATGAGGCGCTGGATTTTTGGCGACATCTTGCTCAAGTTCTTCTTGATGATGGATATTAATGGGCGATGATCTGTGTCAACTGTGAATGTTGGAAGGCCAGACACACAGCAATGGAAAATGTCCAGTCCATAAGCCAATCCCAAACATTCTTTCTCAATGTGTGCATATTTTGTTTCAGTTCTTGTCATGGATCTAGAAGTAGAAGCTACAGGTTTCCAATTTTCACCTTCTGCTTGTAGTAAGACAGCTCCAAGACCGTCTTTTGACGCATCTGTCGAGATTTTCAGTCTTTTTGTTGAATCGTAGTACAGTAATCCCTCGTTTATCGCGGTTAATGGGGACCAAAACCACCCGCGATAAAGGAAACTCCGCGAGGTAGCGACCGATAAACATATAGGAAACAATGTTGTGGTCCTCGAGCTGGTCCTTGGCCTCAAGGACTGGCTGAGGACCGAAAGTCAGTCCTTGTTTCTTGGCCTTGGAGTCAAGTCCTTGGTCCTTGGCCTTGGAGTCAAGTCCTCGGGTCCGAGGATCGCAAAAATCATGAAGAAATCAAACAAACTCCATCCAGGGAAACCCATATTGTTTGACTTATCTGGCTCTTTAAGAGGGGCGAGGCTGCCACTGACAGGTGACAGTTAGCGCAACGTATAAAGAGCGGCATTACAGTTAGTTTCAATCACGGTCAGTTACCGTTCGCGATCGGCAGTTTAAATAGCGTGTAAAGTCTTTCTTGAACAGTGGTGTCTTTTATTTCGTTAATTTTGCACAGTTGCCACGTTTGTGCTGTGACACTAGAATATTTGTTTGAACCAAGTAATTTGCGTTACAGCTGGAGTCAATAATGCCGGCACTTCACTTGCGGGTTTGGCCGTTGGGATTTGGAGTCCTTTTGCTGGATTCCAGTTATGTTTGCTGAATGCTTTCTCATGTTTAGAATAATGAATATTGATAATACATAGTTTAAAATCATGTTTGATTGAATTATTTATTATTATTGTGAAGTTGAAGGTATTAAATTAATTAATGTCACCTCGTCAACTATAGACATTTACATTGTGATGTACCGGCAAAGATGTCGAAGTTCGCGACCAAATACAAGCAGAAGAGAAAACGAGCAAAAAGTGATGGCAAAGAGAGTCCGCGTCCCCAGTTAGCTTCCTATCTGGAGAACGAGGTACCGGTCGAGGAGCCGGTGGCATTTTGGAGCCCTGGCGGGATGGCCTGTGTTCAGAATCCTGCTTTGTTGTTGCTGGTGCAACATATCCTACCGGTACCTGCGAGTAGTGCCCCTGTTGAAAGAGTTTTCAGCAGGGGGGGCATTATCATGCGGCTACACAGGGCACGGTTGTCAACAGAAATGCTGGAAGTGTTGATGTTTTTGAAATGTAATGAAAATGTGTTGGTGCTATAGTAGTATTAGGAGTAGTATTAGTTGCAGTATTAGTAGTAGTAGTATTAGAAGCAGTTGTATTAGTACTGTAGTTGTTGTGTAATGTGGACAATAAAAGGCTGGGAAACTGACTCTGAGCTGTTGGAATAAATGTAATTCTGTTTTCCCATATTTACTCTCTGTGTAACTTTAAAACCTGTTTCAGAGTGATACCTCGCAAATACCTCATATACAATGGGGTATGTTGATAATGGTAGACTTGTCTGACCGGGAGATATCAGGCTGCTCCTGTTCTCGCTTTTAAGAGAATATCTTGTTGTTAAGTGAACGGCTTCTGGTCAAATTAACTGTTGCTTGTGAGAAGATAACATCAACCCCAGGACACCGTGTGAGGGACATCCCAAGCTGTGTACGTGGACCATCGACATCCAGAAGGAGCCGTTTGACGACATCTCAGAAATGAACTGTGTGTTCTCATTGAAACTCT